GAGCGTAAGTGATGAGATTTGTGGCCTGCTTTCAGTGTAACTCTGTCCCTTGCTGCGCTACTTCAGCGCTTTCTAATTCAGCCTAAAAAATCAAAAGGACAAATTTCAGGTCAGAATGTTGTAGTCTCCAAGCTGTAACAGGCTGCAGGTGCCGCACTTCAGAAACCTTAAAATGTTTGCCAAAACCATCTGAACAGTACATAGGAATTAACCTTTGGGCAGGATTGCCTTGAAAGCTGTTTTAGGGTCTATCTGTGCTCTCAGAGACAAAACTCCATAGCATGTCTGGGACTTTTCAGTCTCTTAGGAGAAAGGGTTGTCAGCCATGTCTAATTTCCAAGGCAGTTTGTAGGGAGTTGAAATAAGATGTGTACCTTCCTAGTAGTGATGGCAACTGGTGTTCTGGGTCAAACATGGGGTCTGTTTTGCTTGTACTGTGTTTGGTGGCAGTCACCTGCCAGGTCCGGGAAGCACCAATTCCCAGCCTGCGTAACTAAGAAACAAGCTGCCCTACAATGAAAAAACCTTTGCTAATGACTGAAGGCCGTAATAGCACAAATTATGTTTTTTGTTAAAATCTTATTGAACTGTTCAACTTGATGTCTTAGTTAAATGTTGCATTAATTCAGATCTTTGGGTATTGACTTCTTCAGTTAGCTAAAACAGTAACTTGTTTCCTAAGGATTTTCAATTAACATAGAAATAAAGCAGTATAGATAACTATTCCTAGTCATTCAGGGTTCTTTTATCTTCTCTTCAAAAAAAAGCATTAATCGGGTAGATGCAAGTTAAACAGCTTGGAGCTGTTAATATAAAATGAAATTGTACTTTTAGTAAATCTAACTGTGGTAAATACAAGAAGTTAAGTCTTGCATCTCCTCGGTGGGGAAATTAATATCTGTCTGTATTTTGAAATAATTTATTGAAGGTTTGAGGGTTCTTCTGGCTGCTGTGCATTTTAATTACCTAGATGCTGTGGTGTTCTGTAGGCTTCTCAATGTTCAAAGTGATTCCTGTGTAACATCACTTCTTGTGTTTTTCAGTTCTTCTGAAGAATTGAGTGGGGTGGGGAGGGGGGGACCAACTGTGAAATTGCATCCAGTGTAATCAGATTATTTCTTTTTGTAACTCTTCTAGTGTAAACAAATTACATTATACCATGGCGGCAGACTCTATGGAAATCGATGATGCTTTGTATAGGTAAGAATATCTGATCTTTTAAGCGTTGCTCTTGACTTTTCAGCAACACTTAACGTTTACATGGAGTAACATGAAAGGCAAGGCTTGAAAACACTACCTGCTGCTAGTTAGGTAAAGGTGTGTGTACTTGTGCTGCTGCTTTTGTAAGGCAAAAAACCCGAAGTGTTCAGCAAGTGAAACAGAACCCACTTCTGGCAAAGTTAGCAGTGAGAACTGGTTGAATTGAAGATACAATCTATCTTTCTGTAAAACTGTTCCTTTACTGGTCTCTTAACAGGTGTTTTCTGACCATTATTAGTATTTGACCAGTTAAAAGCATAGGTAAATACTATGGAGTTGTACAAAGTTCCAATAGTATCAATAATGTGTGCTTTTTGGAAAACAGGAATAATACTTCTCCTATTTGTAATACGGATTTTCTTTCTGCCTTAGTTTGTTTCCCCTTTGATAAAGTAGGTACTCCTCTCTATCTTGCTCCTCATCTTCTTTCACTACCTTCTTTTTGCCTTCCTTTTTGACATGTATTTTTTCTCTTTCGTAATTTCATTTATTCCTCAGTCTTTGACATACTTCTCTGTCCTCATGAACATCATCAGTATCTCTGTTATCCTCCAGACTTCAGGGTGTTGGGTTTTGGGTTTTTTTGGTAGGTTTTTTTAAAAAATTTTTTTTTTTATTATTATTATTTTCATTTTAATTTGTTAGCTGGGAGTGGCTCAAGATCACTTGGCATGGCAATAGTTCAGAGAGCCTGTACTGGAACAAATGGTATCCGTGAAAAAATGTGGTGGAATGAAAAGCTTCTTTATATATTAAAAAAAAAAACAAAACAAACACCTGTATGCTGAAAAAATGAGGCTTCTTTTAAATTCAGCACAATGCTTCCTGTGTTGTATGTGTCGTTTTACTTTTTGGCACTAGTCTTGTGAAAGATGTAATTTTCCTTGGTGGAAAAGGTGGTATTTACTTTTCCTTGGTGGAAGAGGTGGTATTTAGAATGGTTTTAAGTTTAGAATAGAATCATTAAGGTTTGAAAAGCTCGAAGATCATCAGTCCAACGGTCAACCCAATACCACCATGCCTACTAAACCATGTCCCAAAGTGCCACATCTACCTGTTTTTTGAACACTTCCAGGGATGGTGACTCCACCACCTCTCTCGGCAGCCTGTTCCAATGTTTAACCACTCTTTTCAGTAAAGAAATTTCTCCTAATATCCAATCAAAACCTCCTCTGACGCAACTTGAGGCCATTTCCTCTCGTCCTATCGCTAGGTACTTGGGAGAGGAGACTAACACCTACCTCACTACAACCTCCTTTCAGGTAGTTGTAGAGAGCGATAAGGTCTCCCCTCAGCCTCCTCTTCTCTAAGCTAAACAATCCCAGTTCCCTCAGCCGCTCCTCATAAGACTTGCTCTCCAGACTCTTCACCAGCTTTGTTGCCCTTCTCTGAACATGCTCCAGCACTTAAATGTCTTGTATTGAGGGGCCCAAAACGGGACACAGTATTCCAGGTGTGGCCTCACCAGCGCCGAGTACAGGGGAACAATCACCTCCCTGCTCCTGCTGGCCACACTATTCCTGATACAAGCCAGGATGCTGTTGGCCGCCTTGGCCACCTGGGCACACTGCTGGCTCATGTTCAGCCGGCTGTCAGCCAACACCTCCAGGTCCTTTTTGGCCAGGCATCTTTCCAGCCACTCTTCCCCAAGCCTGTAGCGTTGCATGGGGTTGTTGTCACTGAAGTGCAGGACCCGGCACTTGGCCTTGTTGAACCTCATACAGTTGGCCTTGGCCCATTGATCCAGCCTGTCCAAGTTTCATTGTATAGTTGGAAACTAAGAGTCTTCAGAGCTCAGGATCTGACTTCAAAAGCTGCTGCACCCTCTGGTTTGAAAATTTCTGATAACAAAGAAATACTTTGGCTTGCTTGTGTTTTCAGTAGTTAATTCCAAGACGCTACTATCCTGAATAGGTTTTACGCTGATTTAAATTTAAATGTTAGTTCTCTTCTCTTAAAACCTGGCACTGAAAAGGTCTGTAGTAAATGTATTTCACTATTTGGATTGTGAGTGCAAATATTACATTTGTTATACATTTATTTCCTAAAGCACTATACAGTTCAGATACATGCATGTTATGTCCTCAGTTGCTTGTTGAATGGAGGGCTGGTAAATAGAACTGGGCATGTGTCACTAGTGACACACACTCATAAGCAGAACTTGGTATTGCAGATTAGAAACTGATTGGGATGATAGAATAACTGAAAATATTTGAACTTTTTTGGAAATGACTGGGAATTCTAGACTTGATTTCATATGTTCTTGACTTTATTTGCATGTTTTTTTAATCTGAATTTATCTTTGCTGTAGTCGCCAGAGGTATGTTCTTGGAGACACGGCAATGCAGAAGATGGCTCAGTCCCATGTATTCCTGAGTGGTATGGGTGGCCTTGGTGTGGAGATTGGTAAGTTAGGTAACATTTATTTAACCAGACACAGGTGTAAAGTGTATGTAAACATACTGTCTTGTATACTTGTAAAGCTTGTTTTAGATGTAATAAGTATGTCTGAAGTATCTGAGTGAATTTATATGTGCATGATGCATATGAGTAACATAGCAGATGCCGGAAAGATCCTGGACTTTTCTCTAGTAAGCTTTATACTAGAACAACATTTCAAATTTTACTTTAAAATGTGCTTCCATGGGCCAGATCGCTTTACCCAAAATCTCATGTCTTGGATGAAGGTTGAGGGTGGATAATCCAAGTCCTTTAGGCATCACTATCAATGAATGTAATACAGGAACAGCTATAGCCCGAATTATCCCCATGTAGGAAATGGCGGAGTGGGAGGTGGTAGAACAGGTGCACTTTGGTGAAAAATCTATAACTGGCCTGGTGCAAGAGACTCCTTAACAATTTCCCTTACCCTTTATGAGGAGACTTGTCTTGGCTGGTTCTTACCTGGGGTGTTATCCTTTCAGTTGGCTTTCATAGTACTCTGCACCAGATGCCAGAACAGAGTCATGGGGTTTTGCAGTTTATTGTCATTAGTGTCTCTGTAATCATGCCCGTGGGATGAACAGCTGACAAATGACAAATGCAGAGCGCCTTTTTAACCTTGCTCATGTTACTCTGCTTTCAGTGGTGCTGTAAAATGCTTGAGCCAAATGTAAAAGAGAACAAACCCTTAAGCTGTGAAGTTCTTAGCAATGATATACTGTTATTGTCCGCCCACATAACTATTCATTTACAAATTTGCAAGAAGTCTGCAACAATCCCTCTCTCTCTCTGTTTTATTTCAGCCAAAAATATAATTCTGGCTGGGGTAAAGGTATGTAAAACAGTTCTGTTGTTGGATATTCTTGGGTGAGCAGGAGAAGAAGGGACAACACTACTAGCTAGTTAATCTTAAGTTTCTGAAACTGTCTTTTGGTAGAAGGATTGCAAAACATTTGAGGACCCGGGGGTGAAAACTTGTAATAATCTGGATGTTCTAGTGGTATGGTCCGAGTCTCATGTTAATGTCCACTGCACTCTGAAATACCTCATGTAATATTTTAGCCAGCTGCTGATCAGACATTGAATCCTTTTGTACAAAGTGGCCTCTCCAAAATGGAGTGGTATAAACTGAAAAGCCAGACTATTCAAAATATGTTATCCTATTCTGTCATCCATCAGAATCCTTTTGTCTAGACATTAGAATGGTTGGGTGTTTCAATCCAACAACTGTTTTTGGGCTGCTGGGATTAATTTTATTAGAGAGAAGCCTTGTAAAACTCTTTCTTCCAATCAAAAAAAAACAAACCCCACCAAACTTGTTTGTAATTTTGGGAGTCCATTAATTTACAGATCGCAATTGCTCCTTAATCGCAGTGTGGCAAAAATCATCCTTGGTATTTAAATGCTGTCATCACTGCAAGCTGGGAGTAGAATGCTTAATGAAATGCATATTGCAGATGCGTTCCTGTCTCTCAAACAGTGAAAGTTTTCTTGGAAAAGGGGCTGGAGGAGCTTGTTCCTACATATGGTGCAACTAAATCTTCTGCAGTACTAGTTCTCCAGCGTTTTATGTGGGGCTTAATCCATCCTTTTGGGTGTTACGACCATGTACACTTCTTCCAGTAAATACTTTTTGCTGAACTTTCTTAGGCTCTTACAGTTCATGACACCAAGCAGTGCACGAAATGGGATTTGGGAATAAACTTCTTCATCCATGAAGATGATATTACCAGTCAAAGGAACAGGTTGGTGAACTCTTTGGAGGGAGGGAGGACTGAACTTCACCAGGAGTAACAGTTTAATCAGCGGCAAAAATAACAGTTCGTTGTCCAAGAGCTGCTAATACATATCAAATACTTGTTTAAACCCTTTCTCTGGAGTTTCTGGCTTTGAGTACAGTGCCCAGGTAGGTATTAGGGGAAGTCTAGGTTGGGACTGCAGTTCTGTCTGAGTCAAATGTCTCACTTCCTGCGGTTGGGAGCTTGTAATGCAACTTTAGTAGTGGGGGCCAAGGTGCATTTCTTGCTTGGGCTTTCTCAGCCACCCATGTGAGACTAGAAAACAGCCATGACACCAGACCATCAGTGAGTCCTGCTGTATTGTCATGGTTTAACCCCAGCCAGCAACTAAGCACCACACAGCCACTCGCTCACTCCCCCTGCCCCAGTGGGAGATGGGGGAGAGAATTGGAGGAGTAAGAGTGAGAAAACTCCTGGGTTGAGATAAGAACAGTTTAATAATTGAAATAAAGTAAAATAGTAATGATAATAACAATACAATAATAATAGTAATAATGATATACAAAGCAAGTGATGCGCAATGCAATTGCTCACCACCCGCCGACCGATACCCAGCCAGTTCCTGAGCAGCGATCGCTACCCTCTGGCCAACCCCCCGCAGCTTATATACTGAGCATGACGTCATATGGTATGGAATAGCCCTTTGGTCAGTTTGGATCAACTGTTCTGGCTGTGTCACCTCCCAGTTTCTTGGGCACCTGTCAGAGCATGGGAAGCTGAAAAGTCCTTGACTAGCATAAGCAGTACTTAGCAACAACTAAAACATCAGCATGTTATCAACATTCTTCTCCTACTAAATCCAAACCACAGCACTATGCCTGCTACTAGGAAGAAAATTAACTCTATCCCAGCCAAAACCAGGACATGAATATTGGACAGAGCTGTTTTCCTCAGATCTTCTAGGAATTTAAGTGTGAATAAATGAGTTGGGGATTGTTGCCAGGAGACTTCCTGAGGGACTCTTGTAGGGTATGTGTGGTACAAAATTCTGTATTGAAAATACAATTTTGTAGGTGCATAAAAAACTTGAAAGTTGCTGTTCTTTCAGGGCTGAGGCCACACTTCATCGTATTGCAGAACTCAATCCATATGTCCATGTAGCAGCATCAACTGTGCCACTAGATGAAACCACAGATATGTCTTTTCTAAAGCAGTACCAGGTATGTCACTCTTAAGGCAGTTGTATGTGGTATTTTGCTCAGAGCCAACAACTTGGATTTTTTAATATAAATAAATAAAACAAACTCTGAAGTATATTTTGAGATGATGTAAAGGAAGAAGTAGGTCTTGTGTTTAGACTAATGAAATAGTCATGCTTGGTTTTTTCAAGGCTGAAACAACAGTGGGTTTCTGTTCCTAGCACTTTCTTATGACACTTATTATGGAATTTACTATGACAATTAATAGCTAAGTGAGATTGCCATACATTTTTTTTTGTTGTTGTTTTTCAGAGATGCAACTGTGACTTTTTTTTGCAGCTACGTAGCACAGATATTCTACATATATTTTGTGTGCTGTTTTCTAGGCAGTAGAAACTCAGGCTGTGTAATTAGAAAGATCATTTACATATGTATGTACCTAATGAAACGTAAGCTCCTTTGTGGTGGAATGAGGATGTTTTCAGTTGTTCAGTCAGCTGTCTCCTGCCTGTGTGTGTGGCTCAGTCTGAGTTGGGAACGTCTACTGTGTGGCTATTGGTTATACACAAGCTCACCAAGTTTCTGAGTGTCCTAGCTATAATAAGCCATGTATAACTGAATGGGACACAGTGCATATGCTTTGTAACCCAATACCATCCTAAACTTTAAAAGAATGCTTGCAGAAATTGTATGTGTGCAATTTGATGAGCACCAGTACTTGAAGCTTGTGCAGACCTCTTGGTGTGCACTGATGAGTATCATTTGGGTTTGTTTTGCTAACTTTAATCTTAAAATTCAAGATCTACATTTTCTCTGAGATTATCCATAACTGTTTTTGTAAGTATTCTAATTAGGTTTTGAGTTTCACAGCTGCAGTAAAAAAAAAAGAGTGAGAATTTGCTGTTCCTGCTCTTGCTCATCTTGTTTCCAGAACTTGTGGAGCAGTAACCTGTCTGTTCTAATGTATAATAAGAAAACTGACTCAAGACTGCTTTCTCTGTTATATGTGGGGGAAAGGAATCAGGACACCTGAGTAACTTACCGTTAGTACTACTTTTTCCATAGCCTGAAGATGTTGATAGCTTTTGGTGTCTTAGATATATTTCTGTTCTTGTTCACAGTGTGTCATATTGACTGAAGTAAGTCTGTTGCTGCAGAAGAAGATTAATGACTTCTGTCATGCTCAGCAGCCACCTATTAAGGTAATAGAAAAAATTAAAAAGACGAATAATTGGTACAGTGAGCATTCTGGACCTCCAACATGTTCTATCCAGAAATGGAGCAAGCCGGTTATGAGGTTACATGCAGATAGCATGTTGATGGAGCAGTTTGAGTTTTGGGAGTACGATGCTGCTACTCTGTACATGTGCCTGGTGTTACCTGAATACCAGCCCAGATAACCATAGCTCGGTTCTTTAAAAGAAAAAAAAGTAGTTCTGTTAAAGAAATAGTTTTCACTGTTAACTCATAATTGTTCTGAAAGAAGATGCTGAGACCAAATGTAACAGTAGTAGAAATGGCAGTATTTCACTGTGTATTGGTGTGATTCCTGTTTTTTGTGTAAGGGTTCTGAAATGCTCATTCAGGTTCAAAGTCTGTCATGAATGCTGCTATATAGTCAGTGGCCTGGGTGCACATGAGGTTTCCACTGTAGAAGTTAAACCGGCTAGCCTTGGACAAGGTTGAATGTGAGGGGTTATTCCTTTGGCTTGTGCTGTTTTAGGGTTACTCTTGATTTTTACTTTCTCTTGTAGTTCATCAGTGCAGATGTATATGGAATATGTTCACGTTTGTTTTGTGACTTGGGTGATGAATTTGAAGTGCTGGATACAACAGGAGAGGAGCCAAAGGAGATCTTCATTTCCAATATAACACAAGTAAGGGATAGAAGTCATTGCGCTGTTTTAATTTTTTTTATAATGACTCGTTATTGGCTATGTGACCAAGCAGAGTGTTTCACTTCAGCAGCCTGCTAAGCAGTTGAAAATTGGCAGTATAGCAGAGGCAAACAAAGTTACTTCATTCTTTTGTCTCAATCAAAAAGTCAGTTTTAATGTGAGCATACAGATGACTCCTGGTCATTACTTACAATGTAACATCACAATATTGAGTCTTTTACG